TAATACAATAATGCATATACAAATAATAATGGTAAAATGGTGCTGAAAATTCACTTACGATATTGAAGGCTCCCTTCTTGTTTGTATGTTCAATTGAATTCTTATGGCAAGGTCAAACGGCATTCCCATTATCTACATATCAATGAATATGAAGAATAAATGAATAATGAGAGAGAGGTTATGATTCGATGTTTCAACCATTACTGGGTAGAAATGTTGATTCATGCCCTCCTCTTTATTCGGAGTAACGTTTATTCTATGTTATCTAAACATAATGAGTGGATCTGTATTTTTTTAATGAAGACACTAACAGCGTAAATCTATTCATTCATTTATTTCTCTATCAACCTCTTTTGGGATATGAGAACAACAGTTCAAACCAATTTATACTAAACAGAACTGAGATGAAGAACAATTAAATTAGAACAATAACATTATTTTTTTCAACAAAATGAGCAAGCATGTCTAATTGTTTAGCATTACGAGTTTCAAATAACTTTATAACATTTAGGCAAATATAGAAGTATTGTTTTATGTATTTTTTCCTAGAAGCAAGTAGAACAGGACATTTTAAAACATAATGAAATTCTTCCCCAATGTCTTTTGTATCACAAAGCCTACAAAATTTGCTTGATACCTCCGGTAAGTATCATCCTCAGAAATAGGCAACTTACGGTACACACAATGAAATCTACACAGGTTCATTCTATCAGGCATGTTTAACTAAATCCTTTGCGAGCCACTGGTGCTCATAGGGCTGGTGCTTATCCCCAAATCCTGTAGCGTGAAGCGGATGAGAGTTGTAATCTGCCTGGACGGGACACTAGTCCATCGTAGGTTAGTCCCCAGCAGATTGCTGGTACCCATTGATACAGCTGGGTGGACTGAAGCAATATAGCTAAAGTGCCTTGCTCAAGGACACAAGCTAATAAGCACAGCGGAGACTCGAAACCCCAAGCTTATGATTGAAAGTCGCAACCTCAACCGTTGCGCCAAACTGCCACCCACAATCGGGCATGTTTAGTTTGATTAAATATCTTTCAAAATCACAATTTTTCTTAAACAATTTATAATTTATAGACAGTATATTTGTATTTATCTCATTTGACCTATTTTACATTGCCATATCATATCATCCAGTCTTAAGAAAAGACTGTTAATAATCCATATTTTATTACAGTTGTAAATGATATTAGGCATTTAAAAATATTCTACTGTCATTTTGAAGTTGGATGATATACACTTCTAAACTTACTCTTTCAAGACTCATGTAATGAAGATGGAGTTTCTCATTAGGAGTAAGGCCTCCCACTGAATCTTGCAGTTCTTTGTCTGTATCTAAGAAGTGAGGGTTTGAGAGGGATATAGGAGAATCTATAAAAGTAAAGAAAATATATTCATTATTAAATTTTTAAAATATTAAAATCTTGGCCTAATTTTTAGTTAATATATAATTGTAAAATTTATTCATTTCTTTTGCTCCCCTGACCACTTGATTTGAAACTAGCAAATTACCCAGAACGGATCCTAGCCTTGTTATTGGGCGATTTCCCATAAAAAAAAAAAAAAAAAAAGAGAAAAACTGTGAACTAGAAACTGTGTTCAATAAAACATGAACCCAGTCAGAACATTCCTAGTAAGTTTGAGCTCAATTGGATCATAAACATCTTTTTTTATCCATTGGCTTAGCTCAAAGGACAAGACTGTGCTATGTTATTTATGACGGACGTAGCGCCTTTCATAAATTTTTTTTATAAAGTTTTTGACCCTAATGACCCCATGTGACCTTTGACCCCAAGCTATCAACACCCCATGTGAGGTGTCACCGATTCTAATGACCAAGTCTGATTAACATTGGCCCAACCATTTGTGTGACTAGTAGCGTTTTGAAATGTTGCCTGATCCCAATCCGCCTGCGCTGCGACTGACTGGGTAAACAGTTTACTTACTCTGTCTACACTTTGAAACGGGAAACGTGCCTGAAGGAGGGCAGTTTTCGGAACAGAAGTCTGCATTTGGTGGATAAACTGATGAATTAGCGTAAGTAAAATGATCCAGAGAAAACAACCACAACGGAACACCTCGATAGGAAGTATCATGATTATACACATACGATACAGATCTGCAAACAGAAAAACATTGTGAAAATAATAAGTCTTGGCACCCAATTAAAAAAAAAACCCCCAAAGATATACAGGAGCATAGTACTCCACAAATATTTGCACTGATAACCCAGTTAGGAAATTAGCAGAAATTAGTCTCGACCCAGTGACCCTGATGCATAAATATCTCATTTTTGGCAAATTCTTTTCAAGACTTGTGACTCACACCAACAAATTTTGGTGGCGTGTCGCAGGCAACAGTTTGCGGAATGTTGCTGTAGAATGCTGTGAATGAAAAACTCACAGAAACAGATATGCGATAGCCTGTTCACAAATTTAAAATAGATTTGGACAATTTTTAACATTGATTGATAAGGAAACTGTGGTGTGATATGAGGCCTATAGACTCTACCAGCAGTCTGTGTCATAAATTCAATGTCCCCACCCCAACTGCTGAACAACTTAGCACCTTATTGAGCAAATAATGGCTGTCTTTTTGTAGTTAAAGCCCAGCTCCAGAGGAAAACAAATTTTGATATGTTGTATAACTGATTTTTCAGACACACGGGGAAAAACAATGGTTAATGAGATACAGATTTTTGAATAAAGGGTAGAGCATGGCTTTAAGCTAAAGAGTAAAACAGCAAAATATCTGCTTTGGTATTTATAAGATTATCATTGTTACACATGTATGCATTGCCTTCTTATCACTATAGTTGGAAATACTATTGACCTTATACACACACATATATACGCATTATACACACACATATATTTGCATTATCTTCAACTACTAAAAATATTATCACACTAATCAATTTACTTCATAATTCATTGCCAAATTTAATAGGTGCAAACTAAACCATCCATTGGATATTTATTTACCAATTAAGGCATGTGATGTTCGAAACTGGTGACGGGGTATTTATTAAGGCCTTATCAAGAGTTTGTCTACATGCAGTGTTAAACCTGCCCATGGGGTAGTTATGGTACTACAATCATTGTCTTTGTATAGTATTAATAAGTAAAATTATTGTTATCATTCTTTATATGTTATTGATTCAGGATATTAAAAAATCCATACAGTTGCGTATCTATAGTAGATATTGAACCGGGGATCAAGAGATCTCCGCGGTTCAGCGCACACACAGTGGCTACAACCAGTTTAGCCGACTGAGCTAGCTGCTCTCTACATACCTACCTGCATAGATCAGGATTGAAAAGGTAGAGTCTTTCATCTTTTGATATAAAGGGATGATACATAAAACCATCTAAAGAAATAAAATTGTATTCAGAAATTATCTTAAATGTATACTACCAGGGGTGAGCATAAAAATGGGTCGGAAGGCTAAAGTGAATCTTTAATTTAACACCGAGGGCCACACTCAAGCTTTCCAGTGAGCTTGCAAACCTTGATGGACTGTCTTTATACCACTTTATGCTCAGCTCTAACATTATTCTTTTACAAATGATAGGTGTTGGGCCATAAAAAAACAAGGGTTTACTAGTCAAAGATAGCTGGCGGGCTGCACACATACAGTAGGGTTTTACATTTATTTTTTTGTGTTTATGTTTATTCAAAATCATCATTATTGGTGGGTGGAAAGTTCGCTAAACAATGTATAAAAAAAGTCTCGCCTATATATATATATATATATATATTCAGCGGGAAAATCTAACTTTGTAGTACCTGTTCCATTGATCATATTCCCATACCCTGACCACCATGGCAACTCTTTCATATATTTCCATGTATTGATATTATTCAATTCAGTTCTATTGGTTTCACCAGTTTGGACATTAAACACACCGAGACCAGTATTATTTCTCTGAAAAACAAAATTCATCAGAAAAATAAAAAAATGAATGGAAAGGGGGGAGAAAAGAGAAACAAAAAGAAAAGAAAAATCAAGAAAAGTAAGTGAAAGAAATGGAATTAAACAAAATCACTGGAAAATAGTTGTCAAGATATAAAGACTGGCAATCAACTGAATGGTATAGAAAGGGGGAAAATGTATATAACCATTTGGTATAGTATGATAGCAATTGGAGAGGGAAACATTTAATAGAGGCATACATTTAATAGAGGCATACATTACATAATTTTTAAGTGGGTGATAGTTTTGCTATAAATTAAAAAAAAGTAAGATAAAGTAAATATTACATTTAAGTATGTTATAAAGACACTAACATCGAATAGCCCTTTTGCCTGTTAGATGGAAAAATTTTCAAATGATGGCTAAATTTAATAATGATAATAATACATATATTAAGGTGATATTTTTTATAAACCTTAAACTATTTTTCTAAAGACAGTGTAAAGTTTTTCATTCATGCTCAGGAATCACAAAATATGATGATAAAATTAGATTATTATATCTCACCCCAAGAAATAGCCCAAATATGTCGGAATCGAAGAATAGGTTCCCTGTAAATGACTTAACAAACTTGAAAAACGGTTCTTCATATCCCCACAGCAGCTTCTTGGGGGACATTGGTAAAAACATTTCCTCCCCCAGACCACGTAAAGTGGCAGACATACCAGTTTTTAAGAATTCTGGGAAGTCTTCAAACATTGATACAATAGTCTGAAAGAGAAAATAATCAACTATTACCCAACAAACTCAAAACTTTCTTATAACGTTTGCTAACGATGTATTTTAGGTATGTCACAAAATAACGTTTACACATGAACTCACAGTAAGTTTACATCCATGTGCTTGGTTATTATTATTATTATTATTATTGATAAAACAGTTCTATAATATTACATTGTTATTGCTGTCCATTTAAGTTTTAATATTTATAAGTTTTATTTGGTTGTGACCACATTTTTCTGATGTAAGTACAAATAAGAAAAAACAATTCTTGATAATTCTTGGCTATTATAACTAATATGTATAGCATATGGCTAGAGTAATGTTGAATAGATTTCAGGGTATATAGACACTGTTGCCAAGATTTACATGATTTGAATTCAGTGATAACCTTGAACAAGAGGTAAACAGGTTTGAACTGAGAGAATAAAGTAGTTGCTACAAGACAATCATAAACACCAAAAATTAACAAAATATAAAACCCCTTTTCAATGGGAAGTAGAAATTAGAGTGATGGCTTCAACATGGGATGGTTAATCTTGATGCCCTGTCCAGACTGTCAAATGTTATTTAACAAAAACATGTGACATGCCTAAATATGGTCATGATGACATCACATGATTACCATATATAGCCACATCATGACTATATATGGGCATACACTTGTCAAAGATAATTTAATAATCTGGAATGAGACTACCAATCTTACAACATCTAAATCACTGTTAAGTATATATCATTTCCTATATGACAGTAGAATCAGGAAAATTATTTTATTTGTATCAATCAACTAAAATTAACTTCAAAGCAGATGAAAAGTTAGGCTCATCCGCACAGGAAAAGGTTCTTGAAACTTCAACTCCTTCATCAGGCAATGCACTGCAATTCTGTTGGTCTTTTTTGAAACATACATATATACATATTTAAGTGAATGCACACAATGGCATAATGAATGAAATGTGTTGGGGCCCATGAATTTCAGTACAGTATTTGTTAACCTCAGAACATAACGAAAAGGCTGAAAAAATTGCATATAAGGCAATCTTAGTATCGCCAAGGCGAAACTTTTTTTATTCCTTGTTTCGCGTACTGATTATTTTAAATATTATCAGAGGAGGGGGGAATAAAAATAAAACTTTGTTTTCTTATTTAGCAAATAGTTTTGCCAAAATTATTCAAACGGAGGAGAAAAAAAAAAAAAATTTTTATTGGTGAATGTAAAATGCTTTAAATTTATATAATTATGAAGAAATATACATCTTATCTTTGGACATTTCAAGGCAGCGGAGGGCGTAATAAAAACAAAGAAAAACTTTTATTTTTTTCTGAAATTTCCACTTTTTCGTGGCGACGCGTTCGCTAATTGGCCAAAAATAAAATGTTATTTTTATTCGAAATCATCAATATTTGCAGTTGGCTGGTTCGCTAAATAAAGGTATAAAAAAAGTCTCGCTGAAGGAATACAAAGCAACTATAAACCATATACCCGTAAACTAATTCTATTTTCACACTCCGGGACCGCTTTGGACTGAGGGGTTTGGGGCTTCTCCCACCAAGAGATCATAGGCATTATGTCACTGGATGGAAGGATTACTCAAAAATATTTTACGTATAATTCAACTTACAGATAATGGAAGGTTTATCATCATGAAAGTTTCATTTTCAGGTCCAGCTGATAAATGTTCTTCAAAAATGTATGTAAATCTTTGTTCGAATGAAACAGTTTCATTGTCATGGAAAGAGACATTTTCCTTTGGCATCTTTATACTATAAGAAAAAGAAAAATATAACTACACATAAATAATTATAACAGAAAATGAGGCCAAAAATCTCTGTTTGTGATTCCCAAAACCATCTGACTCAAAATCTTATTTTATATTTTTTTGCACAGTTTGATATTTTTATTGGCTAAAATTCTTGCATGCTTCTTGCAATTTCTAATAAATTTGAAACCTTAAACAAGGATATTAAAGCCCCATTCCCGGCAAAATTTCAGTTTTTAAGAAAAATCTAATTTTTGTATAATGTTATAAAGATTTATAAATATAATACGGAATTGCTAGTTTAAATGAATTTAGACATTCCTAAGAATGAAAAACATGTAAAATAAGACTGAAATTTGATTTTTTGTGTTCCACACAAAAAATAAATGCGATAACAATGTGCCACGCTCATTGATAATAATATTCGAATTCTTCCCATTCAGAAACACAAAACGATATATCTGTCTCTTATACACATCTAGATGTGTATAAGAGACAGATTTAATTGTGTTTTACCACCATCATTTTTGTTCTCTTTTATAATAATGTATCTATGCTTTTATTAATAAATGTACATATTGTATATAAAACTAAGCTATTGTGTTTCCTATTCTCTGTTTGTGCTTTGCATGTAACAACTGTATAAAGTATAAATAAAAGCGAGAGTATTCCAGTGGATGCGATCTACAACCTCTGAATTTGCCTAGTAACGATGAATTCGTTAAGAAAATGGTAATATTTTATGAGAAATAGTCTGTATTTCTCATTTTTTTTTATTCTTTTGCATAAAACTAAAATTCATGCCAATATTTTTCCATGAGTTATAAAAATTGGAGTAATGCAAATGCATATTTTCTAAAAAAAAGTCAGTTTTTAGTGAAATTTTGCCGGGAATGGGGCTTTAAGTGTTGGTGTGTGGGCTGGGGGAAGTGCATGGGGGTCTAGTACACACAAAAGTAAATGAAAGGGAGAAAAAAGAAAGACGAAAAGAAGAGAAAGAGGGGAGATACTGTAAGTACTCCAAAACATTAAAAAAAAATTTTACATAGCAGTGTCTCCCAGTCAAGCATTTCTAAACGAAAAATAAAAAACACCAACCGCGCTCAGTGCTGCGTTCATCGCATGGCCCCATACCCAGACTTTATGCTTAGGTATGCTATTATACTCATGACATTGTAGCTCAGGTGGTTAAACAATTTCCTTATTTACGGTGGGTTAAATATACTTTTTGTACAGATTATAAGAGATATGAACTCAGGCTACAGGAAATGTACAGCTACTATATTGCAGTCGGTCATGTGCCCGGCACATGACACAACTCTTAGCTGCATGCTAGTGCCCACAGTAAATAAGGAAATTGTTTAACCACCTGTCATGAGCTTAAGCTGGGGCAGAAAATTATTTCTGCTAAATGGGTTATTAAAAATAAAGGCCTATTGAGATTTCATTGGAATAGGGATTTAGTCTCACACTCTAAATATAAACACCACACAGGGTTGAAACTAGTTTGCACCCCTGAATATAATGCTTGGCAAATCCATATTTGTATGCATGATGCAATTTTTAAATAAGGCCAAAACAAAATTGTTTTGTTGTCTAACACAGTGAAATTTTAAAAATCAGGCTAAAATCCATGGTTTTGAACTCTTTTTGAACGTCAGCATGTTGTGTTCTGGTCACCAGGGCCTAAGAATCCCCCAGCCCCCAGGGTATGTAGTAAGTAAGGCCTTAAGGAACCTTAACCAGGTACCTGATACCTCTTTGTTGCGCCACTGATTATTACCTGTAAACATATGGACCCCTTTCTTTCAGTTGTGGTTTTTCACCATTTAACGCTTCTTCCGGATTAAGCACTTCAAAAAAATAAAAATTTTCAAATATTGGTATATCTGCATTCTTCCAAGCTGTGTATATTGGTGATGATGGGGATATTACCATCATCTGAAAAAAATTAAAAATCATAGTTAATAATTTATACAGTCCAACTCAAGATCATCTGTCCGACCTTAAAATTTAGTTTTTTTCGGCCAAAAAAAAATGTTATATCCCCTTATTAGGGGTGTCTCAAAGGAGGGTTTTACAGTTTAATCACTTTAAGCTTGCTGTAACTGGCAGATAACAAGACTTTTGGCCCCATGAAAATGGCCTGCAGGCCGCCAGTTAAGAACTCCTGCAGTAGAGGCACCAGTACCCATTTTATCTACCATCAATAAAATTAGGGTTTAAACTATATCGCAATAGAGGCTAAAACTGTTAATTGAATAAATTTGAAAGGCCAGGGAAGGAGGCGTACTATGGAGCATAGCGCGATCCAAGCCCTGCAGGAGCAAGGGTTAGGGAGGGGTGTCCCTTCTCTGAAATTATAATTTTTTTTTTAAATATAAGCCGCTAGACGCTCATACACGGCATTTTGACCTAAGAAAGTTACCCTTGTGTTTGGTAATTCAAAAGTTAAAATTTGGATCGTCTTGGAATTCGGTGTCCACATAAGGGTTTGCTTATGATTGTTATTTGGTTTTATAAAAATAGTAGAATTGGAGGGTAAATTGTATATTCCTGGCTTCATAGTTGCATAATTAGATTTTAAAGTCACAATTGACAAGCTAAAGTACTTTACATTTTTAGTTTGCATTAGAAAAAGATTGCTTTGTCTTTGAGAATAACCCATTGTGATGCCAAGTGTACTTTGTAACATTAGTATGTATCCCACTTGAAAAAAAAATTTGGTAATTATGTAAAGTTGTAATGTAAAAATAATGTAAAGACAGGCCCTAGTGGCTTTAAGTACAGTAGAAACTTATTAAGGGCCTGTCCGGGGGGGGGGGGGGGGGACTTAAGCCCCCCTGTCCCCCACTGGCGCCGCCACTGCTACACACTACAGGCAGCAGAGCACTGCCATGCTCTCGCCATGCAAAACAATATGTAAAATTATTAAGATTAAAAACCTAGGCCCAAGCCTAACAGAAAATATTGTTTTCGGCTTGCTATCGCTGGCCTCATAACATGTTCGTGGCCCGCGGGCCACCAGTTTTAATAAACCCCTGGTTTATACATATAAAACGTGTCACTAAAAATGGACAATCTCTGCTTTTTTTTTTGTTTACATTGCCTTATAAAAAATACAAAATTAAAACTAACCTTGTTAACAATACTTGTAAGAACAACATTAAAAACAAACGGGATGAGGAAGAGACCAGCTAGGCAGCCAGCAATCCCGACAGTTCCAAGGCAATATGGAGTTTTATAGACCATAATAAAAATGTTCAGCACCAGAAACCAAATAATGCCCAAATAAATCTTCCTGCAAAAAAAAAAAAACCACTGATAAAATTCTAAATCAGGCCCATAGCCAGTAGTTGGGGGGGGGGGGGGGGGGTTGGGGCGTGAGGTCCACGGTCGAAGCCCCGGTGGGGTCGGCGAAACAACCAAAGCAAGGGGATTTTTGTGCTTTATAGGTCTAAATAATGCTATAAAAGCAGATATGTTTGAAAAGGTCTTTGTCTGGGTGGGTCTGCAGTGCATTTGTTGGGTTGCAGGACTCTAAAATCGATTAAATAAGCCGTTGAAACCCCTAAGTTGTCAAAATTTTTGGGGACTTCGCCCCCTGGACCACTTTTTTGATACATTTTAAGCGATGCTCGACCATGTTGGGGGCATCAGGTCCCCATGCACACCTAGACAAACGTGCAAATAATGTAAGTACAGTATATTTGTTGTGTTATGTTGTCGGCATGTACAAAGGATTGCACAGTGGGCTGGGGGGGGGGGGAGGATGCAGACGATGCAAACACACACCCTTAAATATTGTATTAAGAAAAATATTTGTTGTATTGTATTGTTGATATGAACTTAGTAGTAGGTTTACCGGTAAGATATTTGAAGTACTGTCTGAGAGTGCAATTTTTTAATAAAAAAAACTAACGTTACAAGGCCTATGCCATTGTCCATAGACAATCATGGCGCTCCCCAATGCTGGTACAATACATAATTCCACTTTAGCACTATAAATTTGCTTTCATCTGATCCCAAAATATTACCTCTCCACTGAACAAGGAAGTACAGTATACCTCCTTGCACTGTAAGTGCTCAAAAGTTGTTTAAGAACTACATTATTAGAGACAATAGATATTTCAGGGAGTATATAAAACTTCTTTACTTGGGCACTACGAACACGATCCTATTAACTCATTATCATCATAAGTCAAATGGGCAATTTCCACTTTAATATAATCATGTAAAACAATACTATAGTGTATAATAAGCAAATATGCCTACCTGGCTGATCGTGGTTTGACTTCATTAATACTGGAATAGCAGAAACTGTGCAACAAAAATTGGTTATATAAGGTTGTTTACACAGACATACTACCTGTGTGTGTCAACACACTTTATAACAAAAGGATACCTACCACTACCAGTACCGTGTGACCAACAGTTGACGGGTGCCACAGTGACGATCAGATTGCAACCCCCTCACTCAGCTTGCCGTTTGGGTGTCGGGCGCAAATCTGCAACCCATGTCTTAAAATATGTTATTAAAAACAGATCATAATATTTTACGCTCCAACCCTCCTGGTATGCCTTCGCTAGTATTCCCTGGTTTCAGCCTGGCTTCAGCGAGGACTTAGTAGCGGTATGAGGTGAGTGAACGCACTAAGCGTGAAGGAACATAGAGGGCAGTATACGTTTTAAATTTTGATTAGAAATAATTACTGTCGTATGGTTTCATTTGAATTTATTCGTAAATCACTTAAATACTACAAAATATTAAGACAAAACTTAAATATGTAAATTTAATAGATATAAATAAAGATTTTCCTAGATAATCCAAAAAACAAAATTGTTATTCATATCATTAAGGCACTGATGTTCCATAAAATATATTAACATGGTTTAGTTTTAGTTGAATAATCTATCCTTCATAATTGGCCGATTTTGTTCAGTTCATCTTTGCCAATATGTGTCCTATTATGTTTATTTAAAATAAATCTGGCAACTTAAAAAAATATATATATATATAACAAATATAAAGGGGGTACCGAAGGATAATGTTTGTAGTTAGTTTGTATCCTTGTCCTCTGTCGTCAGTAAAGTTTTTGAAAGAGTCTTGCTTGAGACCCTTCAAATTACCTTGATGACCATCTGCAATTATTCCAATCACTCAGTATGGGTCGGAAGGGATTACAATACGATGAGACAAGTAATCAGAGAAGAACTTAAAATGTTCCGTGAATGAAAACCTAGACAGTGCAGCGTGTCTATCGATAAATTTAAGTCTTGAGTTTGTCTTTCGTTGGACCATCGTTTCGCCACACATGTCTTCATCAAGTAAAAATCCTAGGTATTTTACGGATTGTTTTCTACGCAATGACTTATTCGTACATGTAACATTAAAGTCATTTACATTTTTCAGTTTACCAAACAAAATCGATGAAGTTTTGTCGGGATGCAATGCGAGTTTGTTGTTGACAAGCCAACTATTACAAGTTCATAACAATAATCCAATCTATTATTATGCAATTGTAAAATAGTGTCAATTTTGGATAGTGTCATATCAACCAAAACACCATTTACAGCTAGGAGGAAATATAGACCTATAATGGGCATGCAAATCGATTAAATATCATGTATAAATTCGTAACATAAACAAAACCAGACAAACTGAGTTTCTTAGGGCAAATGACGGATTTTCAAGGCACTAATAACATTTTCTCGTGTGTTTTTTCATTTTGTAACATTTCTTGAATTGGAATTCCAAGCCGGAAATTAAGAAGGATGAA